AACAGCATCCTAATACTGTCTTCTTCCTTCACCTCCACCTCCTTAAGATAAATGACCCTATTCCGATTTCTGTTGGGTCCTTTCCACTGATTTATGACACAACCGATGGTCCTCAAAGGTAAAAATAAAGTAATTTACAAATAAAAAAAGATTAGAGGTAAATTAAAAACAGAACATTGCTTTATGTAGCATGAATATACTTAATCATCTCACAACCCGTACTCATGGTGGGTGCCAGGTCGGAAACCATTGTGCCAGAATGATTTCTTCAGTTAATGATCCTCTCAACAAATTAGATTGAGGTAAAACTTTGTTATCTTCTACTGAGAGACATAATTAAATCAATACCCTTCACAAAGAAGGAGATAGTTGAGGATCGTTGGGGGGAGATTGTAATCTCTGATGCTATTAGATGTGCAATTGCCAAAGGAGCTGCAGCTCCTCATCCCTTCAACTCTGAAGCACCTTTAAGTGATGTTTGGCAAGACAATAACTTCAAGCTGCACCTTATAAAACTGTGTCATTTTGCATTAATCACACCACAGTCCTCGGTTTAGTTGTATTAATGTAACTTGCTGTTTATAAGCAGAATATATGTATACATCTTAGATGAAATGACTACTGTGTATGGCCTGAGGGTGACCGCTGCATCCAAACATGAGGGGTGCATCAACTCGAGAGAAAACATGTCTTCATGACATAGAGCCTGACGCTGCACATGCAACCCATGCTGCTGCACAGTTGTCTGAGTGCGATTGACGAAAAGCGACGCACAAAGTAGGAAAAACACAGTGGAAAGCATGATGCTAAGTGCCAGTTTCGGCGGAGCATCGGTTCCGCTGTCTCTTCCTCTCCCGCCCCTCCGCCCCACGCAGCCAGCGGTCCTTACCTTCCTCCTCTCCCATGCGTTCGTCCTTCCAGGTGCAGCAGAGCAGCATCAACCTCATTCACTCTCCGTCACCGAGCTCCGACAGAGAGCCAGCCACCTCAGGTCGACAGATAACCGGTGTCCGACCACCACCACCACAGCAGCCCGCTCGGGGGTCGTGTTGCTGTGCTTTCGGTCCCTCCCTGCGGCGGCCCACACAGCTTCCTCCTGGCTGGCTGCACGTTTCTGCGGCGCTTCATTCAAGAGAGCTGCTGACCAATGAAGCAGCTGAGCCGGGGAGAGGTGGACACGAGCCGGCCAACCAGGAACCCCTCCCTGCTATTAATTAATGCGTGGCTTTAGGGGCGGGGAGGAGGGACCCAGTGCAGTGCGGTGAACACCACTGTGTGGGGCTTAGAAATAACACATAACCGCTTAATAATTGAACCTCTATTTATTTTACTGATATTTTTAATTGTAAAGAAGGAAAGCATAGAAAAACATAGCTTTTTGAAACAATAATTTTTAAATTTATTTGAAAGAGAGTAAAAGATAAAAGCAGCTCAAATGTTAAAGAGTCAGAGATAAAAGCAGTTTAAGTGTACTGCAAGTAGTGAAATTGGTTGAAATGTCAGCTGATGAGCTGCAGTGTGCACTGAAAGCGACTGAGACTTGTAAAATGTGAAATTAGTTGAATCTTTCTGTCAGAGGGAGGCTGAACATGTAAAAATGTGGGATTTTCTACAGGCAAGCACACAATTCAACACATAGGGAGGAATAAGTAAAAAGTTTAAGATGAAGAAATATTTTCTCAGATTTAATCCAAGAACAACACGACGTCATCTAATGGCAACAAACATTAACAGGACAGTGCCAAAAAATGTTTTCCCAATTATTGGTACCACCAAGTTACTCTAGTTATACACTGTACTAGCACAGACATGTATTACAGCATTATACTGCAGTTCCGCTGTGACACTATTTCTAAAGTGGGACGTTATTAGACTTCTGGAACAAAAGTGTAAGCTACTTCTACAGGATGCAGATCATGGGTCAGTGGTTCTCCCAGGAGATCTTCAGAGAACAGCAACATGAGTTCATTATTTCCAGCTGGCACAACAATAACAGTCAGTGAAGTTACCACTGAGGCAAAATGTCTGCCCCTAATCTGTTTGTTGTCATTACAATGAAGAGCTCTGCCAACTTTTTCACATATCTGATCTTGAAATACATTAAATCTGATGGTTCCTGATTAATTTTGCCCATTGGGACAAACAGAAAAGCTGTAGCAGACCTGTTGCAACAAGACTTACACCTGAGATATTATTGCTTTGTGGTATGTGGCTTATAGCAAACTGATCTATGAGCCACTCTGGCCACTCTGAGCCAGGTGGTTTTCATCAACTCACAGGACAAACTGCTGCTGCTGCTGCAGTGGAATGCACTCGTGAAGAAAAACTAAAACAAAACGGACAACACCAGATCTTTTAACACATTGTATTTTGTTATTTAATGAAGCAAATAAATGCTGGATTCCAGGAACAAGTCACATGTGTGTCGTGGAAATATAAAAAGTGCAAAACCACACTGTTCCTCCTTATAAAAACAGCTTTAAATAAAGATGAAGGGTATCCCTTGGCACATAAGACAAGGTCTGACCCAGCGAGGCTCAAAGACATTTCTTACACAGCACCGAGTGAAGGAACCGAAGCCAGCGTTTATCAAATTAGTACAAAATACAGTACACAATTACAGAGAGAGATGGGGTCACTTGGCAACAGCGCTCATGCACCTTTGGTCAGTTTGGCCTTTTTAAAAGCAGCTCAAGTAAATGAAGAACAATGGGTGCTCATGCCTCACATTAACACTTTGTCTCTCCCATTAAACAAAGTCTTATTCTGTATTACAATTCTAAACACTGAATAAATGCAAAAGCAAAGGATGTTCACACATTCCTGATAACAATAAAGCTATGAGTCAAAGAATGGTGCAAACAATCTTGAATAATCATGTAATGACAAGTTACATAAATGTAAATAACTGCTGCAATGAGACTAAACATTTGAAGCAGACTACGGCGCTCTATTCAAGAGACATCATGAAACATTCACACATACATAATGTAAATGCCAGAGTAGTATCCGAGTTACGTATTAATCTATACTTGGAAGGCTTTCCCATGTTTTTTAAACATCGTGTAACATCTTCAGCATGTCGTTCCTCAGAGCAGAAACTGCTCTTCATACATCACAAGTTTGGCAACATTAAAAATGCAGAGAAAACTGAACTGCATAGCAACTAGAATCAGCAAAGTTACTGAGAGCAGATGGGTTGGCCAGAGCCCCAATTCCCGCTGCTTTATACCCAGCAGGCCTAAGAATAGCAGCAGAGAAAACGGGGAGCAAGAGACGACACTGAGATTGGCCAGATTTCCTCAGTTTTCGGACGAGCCTCGACCAACCCAACCCCTCTGACATGTCAGAGAGATGACAAGCTCTGCACAGCGAGGTGCGACAGTGTGGGCTGTGACACTGAGGACAGTTCACCTCAGTGGAAAGAGAAATCATTCATAGGTCACATTGACAGTCGATGGTTCAGTCAGTCTTTCGCACAACAGTACAACCATACACGAAACACACGCACATTCATGCACAACAACAACAACACACTGTGACACATACACACACTCTTTGTATTCTAAGTGGGCTGGTGCAGTACGGGGAGTTAAAGCTGCAACTAACATACGTCACACCGGAGCGTGTACAAAATTCTGGGTCGGTGGGTTTGTATAAAAACAGGCGATGAAGTCAAGTAAGTAAAAAAACCAAACATCTTTACATGTTTTCTAACGGGGTTTGTTTGCATATAAAATGTACATTCTAGATCATGCAGTAGCACCATGGTGTCTTGAGGTCACGCTGGATCTCAAGAGATCCTCTACTTCCTCCTGCCACAGAATTTGCCCCGGCATCCTGCAACTCCACCTGCAGCAAAAAACATCAGGAGTTCAGTCTGTTCTAAGAAGTCACAGGAGATAATGCATGTTCAAACACACATCTGTTCTTTTCAAACTGACTGGCAATAGTAAACACTCTTTTACCTCTATAGACTCCTCCTCCTCCTCCTGCTCCTCCTCCTGCACCACCAAGGAAGCTCTGCAATTGGCCGTACTTGGCTGCTTTGGCTGCAGAACAACACAAAAAACAAATGAATCAGCTAATTACTTTAATTAAACATTCCCTAATGCTATTTAAATGTTTAATGACTTGTCATGTCCACAAGAGGTCTCCTGGCTTTGCTGTTACGGCTGAGTGGAGTTTACGACGAGTGGATGTGTGGCGCTTGACCACTGCACGCACACAGCAACTATACTGTACCACCCGCCTCCCAGAGAAGCTGTTATACACTAGAGACAGAAGGGGCTGTGTTTTAAATTACAGATGGATTTATTGATGGAAACCAGAGGGGAAAGTTCCCCTTTAAGGTCCACTTACTAACTTTTCCCAGACCTTTCAACCACATCTCACAACCAGCAATGCTAGTAAATAGTAATCACAGGGCTGACACAGAGACAACCATTCACGCTCACATTCACAACTACTGTGCTGGCAATTTAGAGTAATCGATCAACCTGACATGCATGTCTTTGGGCTGTGGGAGGAAACTGGGTCTCAAACCGTTGAGGGAAATCAATTTCATTCATTCATACATAGGCCTATAGTACATTTACAAAGGTGTCCTCGAAAGCTGTCGATACATCAGATACTGTGAGAGATGAAAGCGGGGACTGTAGTTATCTAAGAAACCAGACGTGTTTCTGTGAAATAATCCCACCGTCCGTAATCTCAGATGTTCAGGAAAATGCCGATTATCATGAGTTCAAGGTACTGGTTGTGCTGTGCCATCTGCACTGACAAGCACACACAGTGACAACCCACCCTTTTCCAATCTCATCCAAATGATCTGACTTGTTGCCAACGAGCAGAGAGAGAAATTGGAAAATAGGCTGAGGTGCAAGGGACACTTTTATGACCGGTACTAGTTATTATCACTTTCTAATGTGGTGTTTTTGGGTGCATGGAGAGATGTGAGGAGGTGGGTGTTTGGTACCTTGTTGAGGAGTCAGTGGGGCTGGTACATATCCACCTAGACAACACCAGAGACAAATGAGAGATGAGATGGTACCATTAGAGTAATGCCAGGATGAAACCTCTTTGGATCTGTCACAGTGCTTGATATACAATATTTATCCTGGCCAGGGTGTGGTGAGGAAAATCTGTTGACATTAGTAGTAGATCACACGAGAGTCACTTAGATCTGCTGAGCTGTCTGATCCAGAGATGCTATCAGTATATTCAAGTAACCAGACTTGCATACACAGCGATGTTTTCCCGACTGTGTTTTGCATTCAAAAGACACAGAAAAGTAATCTTAGTTAAAGCTTAGCAGAGGGAAGGTGCTTGTGATTTTGTCCATTTGAATAACGGGTCCTCTGAAACAGAAAAAACATCTTCTGATGTGTTTTGCAAATGGGAGGAAGATTAGATTAAACATCAATATAATTTCTATTTGCCTCCCCTGTCTATAGTAATCCAATTCATCTCTCTTTAATTAGGTGCTCGGAGGAGGAAAAGGCAGGTCATCATTATTCAAACACAATTTAATTAATTATGCAAAGACATCCATGTTTTCAGTTTGGTATATTAGAAATAAATGTTAAAAGCCCTTTCTGCTTGCATGAGCTAAAGACAATATGAATCATTTCTATAGTACTTATGTATGTCATCAGATTTCTATGTGTTTTCATGATCAAATGTAATCATGTAATCTCAAAAATGCAGGACTTTTCAAATTTAATTGGAAATTCATTGAGGTTGCAATCTCTCATGTCAACTAGTAAAATGGTAAAAGAATCATGTTTTTGGATGGAAGATCACATGGGAAGGAGAAAAGGGGGACAAGATAAGTTGACAAACATACATAATGAGCCATAAACTAATACAGTCAACATGTGGATTCTGTAACTGGATGAGAAGAATCTAAATAAATTGGGGAAGGTGACATTTTCTGTCATTCTGCAGTAGTTCTCCTCTCCCTTTCTTTCTGCTCTCAGCTCTAAAAGTGAAGCATTACCTGGCTGTTGTCAGTTGGGCATTAATACGCCTCCTCATACAGAAACAAGGATGATAAGTTAAAGAACTGTCTGTGATCTGAATCCTTGTGGAGGCAGTTTGGCCAATGGATTTGGTTAAATGTTTGACTTCCATTAGCAGCAAAAACAATGATGACCAACTCTGAATGAAAAGGGTTTAAAAACTGTTCAGTAACTATACTGAAGTAAACATGGTAATGTGTAATTTCATGGAGCAGAAAGTATAGAACACTAAACCAAATCAAAATGATAGTTATTATGTTAAACCGCTTGTGTTTCGTTTTTATCCAATTTTCCTCACAAGAAATGCTCTTCTAAACAAGCACAAAAGAACACACACACACACACACACACACACACACACACACACACACACACA